GGGTAACAAACCTTAGGAAGGTTAGTCTGGTTTTAGAGGGAGGACAATGTAGGTTCACAAGAATGATACTTGGACTTCAGGGCTTAAGTTATGAAGAACGATAATACAATTTAAGTCTGTTTTCTCTAGAAGTTAGATGGTTAAGGGGTGATCTGATTGAAGTCTTCAAGATATTAACAGGGTAGATAAAGAGAAACTATTCCCACTGGTTGGGATTCCAGAACTAGGGGGCATATTTAGAGAATTAGGGCCAGACCTTTCAGGAGAGATGTTAGGAAGTACTTCTACACACGAAGGGTGGGAAAGGTTTGGAACTCTCTTCCACAGATGGCAGTGGATGCTCGATCAGTTGTTAATTTTAAATCTGAGATGGATAATATTTTGTTAAGCAAAGGTATTAAGATAAATGCTTGGATTGTTTTCTTTAGAGCAGAGAAGACTGAGGGTGGACATGATTGAAGTGTATAAGATTATGAGGGATATTGACAGGGTGAGTAGAGAGCAGCTGTTTCTGTTGGTTGGGGGGGTCAATCTTGATGGGGCATAGTTTTAGGGTAAGGGGCAGGAGATTCAGAGGGGATTTGGGAAAAAACATTTTCACTCAGCAGGTGGTGGGAATCCAGAATGCACTGCCTGGGAAGGTAGTGGAGGCAAAATACCGTACAACCCTTAAAAAAATTGCAAATATCATAACATTCAAGGATATGTGACAAGTGCAGGAAATTGGGTTTAGCTTGCCTTTAGTGGTAGTTATATCAGTGCAGACTCAATGGGCCGAATGGACAGTGTGACCCTATGACTTTATATGGGGCTAAAGGCAGGTGTATGGAGTTAAGCCACAGATCAGCAATAATCTCATTGAATGATGGAACAGGCTGGAGGGGCTGAATGGCCTATTCCTATTCCTACATTCATACCTGAAGTCTATGCCCCCTGCTTACTGACCCATCTACTAAAAGAAGCGTCTTCCTATCCATCCTTTCTGTGCCCCTCTTAATCTTACACACTTCTCTTAGGTCCCTCCCTTGACCTTCGCTGCTTCAATAAAAACAACTCCAGCCTTTGCAATCTTTCCTTGTAGCTCAGACCCTCCAGCTCAGGCAGTGTTCTGCTACGTCTCCTCTGCATCCTCTCTCATGCAATCACATCCATCCTATAATGTGGTGATCAGAACTTTACTCCAGTTCTGACACAACCAGTATTTTATACAATTCCAGCATAATCTCCTTGCTCCTAAGGCTAATCAAGGCTAATCAAGGCAAATATCCCTTATGCCTTCTTATCCACCTTCCCTACCTGCTCTGCTACCTTCAAGGTTTTGGGAAATGCATACCAAGGTCTTTCTGATCTTTCCATGTTCCTTCCATTCACAGTGTAACGCCTTGCCTTGTTGGCCCTCTCCAAGCGCATTACCTTACACTTTTCCAGTTTGAATTCCCTTTGCCACTGCGCCTTTATCCTCTACCATCACCCCCTGCTTCCTACCTCTCAGCTAATTCTAGATCCAGGTTGCCACTTTGCCTTAGATCCCATGGGCTATTGCTTGCTTGACTAGTCTTCATGAGAGATCTTATCAAAAGATGTTTCAAAGTCCATGTAGACCACATCAAATACCTTTCCCTCATCAACATTCCTGGTTACCTCCTCAAGATGTTTAATCAAATTTGTCAAATATGACTTTCTCTGAACAAATCCCCACTGGCTATTCCTGATTAATCTGTGTCACTCCAAAGTGTCCCTCAGAATTGTTTGTAATAACTTCCCCATCACCAAACTCTCCACTTTTTGTCCAATGGAAGCCTGAACAGTTCCCATCCATCAAACACCTCCACCAGACTGAGCTCATTCTTACTCCGAACAACTTGTTCTTGGGTGCAGTCACTTTGATGAGATTGTACGACAGGCCACCCAACAGCGGGTGAGTGATCCAGGACCAGATCTGTGGACAGATTATGGAAACATGTACCAATAATAGGGTTGTCATGGTGGGCGATTTTAACTTCCCCTTTATTGACTGGGACTCACTTAGTGCCAGGGGTCTGAATGGGAGCAGATTTTGTTGGGTGTGTCCAGAATGGTTCTTTGAAACAAAATGTAAATAGTCAAATTAGGGTATTGGGGAATAAGCCTGGCCAGGTGATCAAAGTTTCAGTAAGGGAGCATTTTGGGAACAGTGACCATAATTCTGTAAGTTTAAAGTTTCTTAAGGATAAGAATAGTTCTTGTGTGAAAGTACTAAATTGGGGGAAGGCTAACCACCACAATATCAGGCAGGAACTGGAGAATGTAGATTTGGGGCAGCTTTTGAGGGCAAATCCACATCTGACCTGTGGGAATCTTTTAAAGGCCGGTTGATTCAAGTTCAGGACCAATGTGTTCCTGTGAAAATGAAGGATAAGGATAGCAAGATTTGGGAAACTTGGATAACAAGAGAAATTGAGGGCTTAGTCAAAAAGAAAAAGGAGGCACACTTAAGATTTAGGAAACTGAAGTCAGGCTGAGCCCTCGAAGAATACAAAGATAGCAGGAAAGAACTCAAACAAAGAATTAGGAGGGCTAAAATGGGCTATAAAATGTCTTTGGCATACAGGATTAAGATAAATCCCGAAGTGTTTTATATAGATATAAGGAGCAAGAGAGTAGGTAAGGAAAGGATTGGTCCACTGAAGAATGAAGAGGAGAATTTATGCATGGAGCTGGAGGAAGTGGATAGTGCAGAAATGGTTTACCAGGATGTTGCCTGGTAGATGGGATTGGACAAACTTCATTTATTTTCACTTGAATGTTGAAAGATGAAGGGCGACCTGATTGAAGCTTACAAAATTGTGATAGAAAGGATAGTCAGAGTCTCATTCCCAGGGTAGAAATGTAAATTACTAGCGGATATATGTTTAAGGTAAAAGTGGGTAAGTTTAAAGGAGATGTAAGAGGCAGGTTTTTTGTAACACAGAGGGTGGTAAGTACCTGGAATGTGCTGCCAGAGGAGATGATGGAGATGGATACAATAGCAACTTTTAAGAGGCATCTTGCCAAGAACATGAATAGGCAGGGAATAGAGGAAAAAGGGTTTTCAGTTGAGGAAAGCATCATGTTTTGGCACAAGCTTGGTGGGCCGAAGGACCTGTTGCGGTGCTATACCGTTCTTTGTTCTTCAACTCCACTCACCTGCTCCAAATAAAAGATGTTACTATGGTTACCTGCATCAGTCCCAGCTTTGCCGGCCTTTTTGTGAACATTCATATTTTCAGTCCTACTCAGGCCCCCACCCTTGTCTCTTTTCTCAGTAAATTGGTGAATGCCCCATGCACTCGCCATGAGCTGGAAATGTCATTGCCTGTGCTTCCGGTTTCCCTCTTTCCCTCCCTGTCATCTACTCCATCCCTCTAACTTCAGTTCTGAAGAAGTCAAATCGGACCCAAAAAGTTAATTCTCTTTCTCTCTTCATAGTTGCTGCCATAACAGCTGAGTTTCTCCTGCACTTTCTGCTCTTCTTTGACTTCTCTGTTTTTACTTCTGGGGATAGGCAGACCACTAACTATCTTTACAAAACTATCAACACCCACAGCTAGCTCCACTACACTTCTCCATCACAGAATCAGTACTGCAGAAATCTTATGGTGCAGATGGAGCCTATCATGTGAGCACTGGCTCTTCAAATCAGCAGTGTTCCTTATTGTCAATCTTCTGCTTTTTCTGTTACGTTCTCTCACTTCCCTATTTCCTTGCATCTGATCTGATGATGTAAACTTCCACAATCATGCTTCTGACATGTCATCATTTTGCCACCACCGGGTGCACCTTCCCGGTATGGTCGACGGTTCTTCCAACATGCCCAGTCTGTTTCACACACTCCTACCCCTTGCAACCACAAACCCATTCTCCTCTTCTCTCCCTTTTCAGCATTCTGGAGGGACCTTTTTCTCCATAATGCCTTGCTCTGTTCCTCAGTCTCCCCTCCTCCCTCCCAGACACACCTTTCTGGGCAAAGGTAGCAGATGGAAAACCTATTCTTTCACCTGCTCTTATCTCCCCAAGCAATTCTTCAAAATGAAACAGTGATTCATTTGTCTTACTTGCAACCTAGTCTTTTTTCTTTTAATTCAGCCACGGAGCATGGGCATTGTTGGCCAGGCCAGCATTTATTGCCTGCGCCTGACTACACTTGAAGGTGGGAGTAAACTGCATTTTTGAACCATTGCAACCCACTTAGTGTAGGCAGATCCACAATGCTGTTCAGGAATTTGACCCAGCAACGCTGAAGGAGTGGTGACATATTTTCAAGTCAGGATAGTGAGTGTCTTGGAGGGGAACTTGGAGTGATGGATCACTCTGTCAAAATCCTGGAATTCCCTCCCTAAGGGCATTGTGAGTCTACCTACAGCACATGGACTACAGCGGTTCAAGAAGGCAGTTCACCATCAACTTCTCAAGGGGCAACTAGGGACGGGCAATAAATGCTGGGCCCAGCCAGTGATGTCCATATGCCACAAGTGAATTAATAAAACATTTTTAAACTGCTTCTACACTCTCTCAAATGTATTCGCATATTTCCTATGATCTGTCAACCACAACTGTATGTAATCCTCCAGCTGAGGTCTAACAAGTATCTTGTACAAGTTCCACATCACCTCCCTGCTCTTGTATTCTATGCCCTGATTAACAAAGCTCAGGACACAATATACTTTCCCCAATTCTCTTGCTACCTGTCCTGCCCCTTCAATGACCTGAACACATATACAGCCAGGTCCCTCTACCTCTGCACTCCCCTTTTAAATTTTACTTCTAATTTATGTCGTCATTTAATGTGCTTCTGACCAAAATTCACAAGTTCACACTTCTCTGCATTAGAGCTCATCTGCCACCTTTCCATCCACTCCACTAGGAAAATGTCCTTTGGAATTCTACATTGGCCGGCTGACGGTTTACAATTGCTCCAAAATTTGTGCCATTTGCAAACTTTGAAATTGCACACCCCGCTGCACACCAAATTGATGACAAATTTAGCAAAGTAATAGACAAAAGACTGTCCCTGTTTGGCACAGCCACTGAGGTTGAGTTTGTACCTCTGTTTGCCTGTTACATTCAGCTGTTTTCTTGGCCATTTCCAGCTCAAACTCTGACCTCGTTTGTTCCAACAATTGCTGCAATGAGCTCACTTGTTCCCTCACAGTCTGCAATTCCGCACAAAGTTCTTCATTTTCCTTTGCAAGGGATGCCAGCTGCTCCTTGCTGTCCCGTGCGCTCTCCATCTGGCAAGCTGCATCATCCTCTTGCTGCTTTGTCAACCTGACAATCTGTCCCTCCAGTTCAACCTTCTCAGCAGACAGCTCTACCAGCTGTGCTTGTAATTGCTTCACCTTTTCCTGGGCCCTCTCCATCTCACCTTGAGATTTGTCATTAGTCAGCTCAACTTTTGCAGTATTGTCCTTTAGGTACAGCAGGTCCTCCTCGAGAATGGAAACTGTCTTCCTCAGGTCTTCCTTCTGTTGCTCCAGTGCTTCCCTCTCAGCTTCAATGGTCTCAATTCTTCCCAGCATTTCTTGAACCTGGAGCCTATGACCGTTCTCCAGCTCTTCCATTTGCTTCTTAACCCTGGTGACTTCCTGATCAGATTGCTCAAGAGCAGAAAGGACTGCGCTCAGCTCTCTCTGTGTAGTTGTTCTCTCCTTGCAGACCTCCTGCAAACTCTGTTTCAGTTCAGCACTTTCAGGATGTACCACCACCATTTCTGTGTGATTTCTTGCAGATGTTGCCAACTCCACCTTCATCTCCGCCTCATGAGCCACGTGTTGGTCTTTCAATTCTGTTGTTTGGTTTTCTGTGCTTGATTGTTCTGCCATTAACATATGGAGCTGGGCCACAGTTTCCTCTAGTTTCTGTTTGGCTTCTAACTTCTCTGCATTTGAAGCTTCTAATTTCTGAGTAATCTCCTCCAATTTGTCCTTCAAAACATTTAGATCTTCCCTTTCCCTTGCGGCAATGTTTGTGTTCTCCTCTTTCACCATGGCCTGTTGGTCTTCCAACTTCAAGGCTGTGAGGATTTCCAAACTTGCAGTCTCTTCCTGTTTGAATTCAGTCCTTTCCAGCTCTTGATCGACCAACTCATGTTGGCCTTCCCTCAGGTTTTCTTCAGGATTCCCATTGTCGATTGCCAGCTTTAACTCCCTGCCATTAGGAGAGAGAAAAGCAGCACCACTCTGTTGAAGCAGCTGTTTCTCAGGAGTTTGGAGTTTGCTGATCGCTGACCGAAGTGAGATGACACACATTGTTAATTCTTTGACTTCCTGTTGGCTTGCTTTGTACTTTTCTTCAAGTGAATTGTTGACAGACTCCATGCTTTGCAGCTTGATCTGTAGCTCTTCCATCTCATTCAACTGATGCCGATTTTCCAAATTGATCTTACTCTGAAATTGAACCGGAATTGGCTTTTTGTTTCTCAGTTCCTCCTTCGCTGTTTTGAGCCTTTCGTCAGTACCTCCTTTCAATCCATCATCTTCCTTTTGATGTTTGCCGAGCGTGAACTTCAGTTTCTCCAACTCTGCCTCATGGATCTGCTGGGCTGCTGCCATCTTTTCTACCTGCTCCTTTCTCAGTAACATATTCTCGTGATCTTTCTCAACCATGGCTTGTTTCAGTTCATCAAGAATCTTATCCATTTCCTCAACTGTTTCATTCAGGAAGTTATTACTGTCCTCCAACTGCTCCACCTTGTTTGATTGTTCCTCAATATTCTTCTGCAATTCCTTCAAGTTTGAGATCTCTTGCTGAAGTTTGGAGGACTCCTCCTCATGGGTCTGCTCTCTCTCTTTGAGTAGAAAGTTTAGTTGCTCAATGACACACTTTTTCTCAGTTAGATCTATGCTGAGTTTCTCTAAGAGAGACCACTGGTCTGATATAACTTCAAGTTCAGTCTCTCTCTTCTCATCTGTTGTTAAGGTGGATACAACTTCCTGAGATCTCTGAACTGCAACTCGGCTGCTCCCTCTGGGCACTTCTGATCCAATAGGCTCTTGCTTCAAGTTGCTAACCAATCCTATGTTCTGTTCTTCATGCCGGTGCACCTGCTCATCATGTTCAGATTGTAGTTGTTGACATGGATTTGACCTGGAGCCATTACCATACACTTCCAGATTTGGTTCTTGGTTTCCTTGCAGATCACTGAGGCCCTTTGAAGCACTGTGTGTTGCCGATGCTCCTGATGGTATTCCTGGTACTTCAGATTTCATGGAACTCTGCATCCTTCCGATAGCCGCTGGCTTCTCATGCTCAGGTTCCTTTCCTAGCCAGTAATTTGGCTTCTTGAACAGCCCCTGAATGTGAAGCCAATATCATCAACGTTAAATATCAGATGTTAAGCAATAATCATAGAACAGTCCTTTCTCCACCTCCATTAACATGGAAGGTGGAAAATGATCAATAAGATGAAGTGGATTCAACAGGAAGGTCACGGACAGCATTTTTATTTACAAAGTAAGCATTTATTTTGAATTAAAACCATGCTGCAAAGGTTATGATGCAGTGTAGAGGAAGACTTACTCCGTATCTAACCCCCTGCTATCTCTGTCCTGCTGTGATGAAAAGTCATTCTAGAGTTGAAACGTTAGCTTGCTTTCTCTCCATGGATGCTGGGTGACCTGCTGTGATTTCCAGCATTTTTTTGATTTCTGTCCTTGTCCTGGGAGTGTTTGATGAGGACAGTGTAGAGGGAGATTTAGTCTGTATCTAACCCTGTGCTGCCCCTGTCCTGGGAATGTTTGATGGGAACAGTGTAGAGGGAGCTTTACTCTGTATCTAACCCTGTGTTGTCCCTGTCCTGGGAGTGTTTGATGGGGGGGGGGGGGCGCAGTGTAGAGAGAGCTTTACTCTGTATGTTACCCTGTGCTGTCCCTGCCCTGGGAGTGTTTGATGGGAGGTACAGTGTAGAGGGAGATTTACTCTGTATCTAATCCCGTGCCGTCCCTGTCCTAGGAGTGTTTGATGGGACAGTGTAGAGGGAGATTTACTCCATACCCAACCCTGGGAGTGATTGAGGGGGTAGTGTCAATGGAATTTATTGCATATCTACCTTGGTGTTATACCTGAAACTAAAGACCAGAAGTGGCAATGTTTGCTTTTCCCAGAATTTCAGAAACACAATAAAATTAATTCATTGGACACCACTTTGAAGATGCTCATTACCTTAAACAGGTTGTTGAATGGAACTCTATTTGTTGTTGTCCTCCTGGGAATCTTATATTCGCTGTAATCAACAGAAGAGTAGGGGGTTTGATTAATGATAATAATAATTATATATTCAATTTTACTTATACAAATAGCTTAACTCATTTGGCTGTTACTGTAAAATATTAGTATTAATATTAAAAAAATTAGTATCCACAGATATTCACCCACTCTCCTCCACCTCCAATACTCAGTAGCAGCAATGTGTACTATCTACAAGACTCACTGCAGAAATTCACCATGGTTCCATGGACAAATGCATGACCACCTCCATCCAGAAGGATAAGGGCAGAGATACATGGGAACATCACAACCTGCGAGTTCCCCTCCAAGCCACTCACCATTTGGACTTGGAAAAATATCTGTTCTGAGGAAGGGTCACCGGACCCGAAACGTTAACTCTGTTTTCTCCTCCACAGATGCTGCCAGACCTGCTGAGCTTTTCCAGCAACTTTGTTTTTGTTGGAAAAATATCGCTGTCCCTTTGGTGTCGCTGGGTCAGAATCCTTGCAGTAAGTGTGAGGCAGCATAGAGAACAGTGTGGCGTTGATCCTCGCTGGGTGGAGAAGGTAACTGACCTTCTTCTGGCATTGCTGGCTGTTCCTCCATTCCTGAATTGACGTTGGCTATGCTGGCAATCTCAACTGAGCTGCCAGGGTCTCGTGGTCTCTTCGGCTTGGCCTTCCCTGGAGCTCCCCATCCACCTGGATCTCAAGGGCCTTAACAGAGAATCATTACACATTTCCCCCTTCTCGAATATCTTTGAAATAACTGTCCGTTGATGAACAGGACAGCCTCAGAATGTCAGTTCTTGTCTGAGTGCAGGGCAGTATTTTAAAGATGCTGCAGGATGCCAGCTTTTCAGCAGGTATTCAGTAAGTGGCAACATTCTTCTGGGAATGACAGCTGGTAGAACGGGTCTAGAATTGGGCAAGGCCAGGGCAACAGGAGTAGGAAAGGTTGTTAATGAGGCAATGTTTAGGGGATGCAGTTACTGGAATAGAAAGTGAAAACTTCAGGCTAATGTTCTGAGTTCGTTAGTTCAAATCGCATCAGATTATTAAATCTGAATTCAATAAAATATTTATCAAAAAAGCCCATGGTGACTATGAAATCATTGTTGATCATTGTGAAAAACCATTTGATTCACTTGAGGGAAGGAAACAGCCACCCTTACCCGATCTGGCCTACACGTGACTCCAGACCCACAGCAATGTGGGACTGTACTCTTAACTGCCCTCTGGGCAATTAGGGATGGGCAATACATATTGGTCGAGTCAGTGTCACCCATTTCCCATAAAAAAGTTTGGTAAGATGCGACGAGAGATCTTCTTTGGCTTCACAGAGAGAAACCCTCCTTGAAACTAATTGTTATTATTACTCTCACAGAGTAACACAGAGCCAGCGCACCGCTCAGAGTAACACAGAGCCAGCGCACCGCTCAGAGTAACACAGAGCCAGCGCACCGCTCAGGGTAACACAGAATTTGTAGTGGGTTGAAGTTTACCTATAGTGAATAACCAATACCGAGGAGTGAGTTACAGATTGGGATCTATTCGAGGGGTTCGGAGTGGTTTTGTATATATAAAATAACAGATACTCAGGAGTGACTTACTTCCAGACTGGAATCTTAGCAACTGGTATGGGTGATTATATGTAGAATAAAAGATCCCTGGGAGTGAGTCACAGACTGGAATGGAATTGAAGGGTCTAGGGAATGGGATTATAAACAGAGTAACATAAAGCCAGAGTAAGCGTTCTTTTGTGAATTCTATCTTGTTTTTGCTGTTCCTTTCACAAGGCTGTCAATTTCCCTTTTTGCTCATGATTTAATGAGGTCAGCAGACTCTCCAAATGGTTTTGTTTCCGTTTTACAAGACAACAGATGGTTTCCTTAAAAGGCTACCAAAAGGACCCTTAACCCCAGTGAGAGTCAGTGTGTGTGGGACTGTACCCCAGTGAGAGTC